TAGTTTTATCCTTTGTAATTTTTTTTCATAAGGTAGATAGAGTTTCATAAGGTAGTTTTAGCTCAAATATTTTTTTCGTTGCACACCTTTGGACTTTTTCTATCATTGCAATATCTTTTTTTAGGTGAGGAGACCAAACCTGTACTGCGAAATCTAGATGTGGACGAATGTATGCAAGGTACAGTGTTTTCCATAAAACTAGTCTGTGGCTACAAAAAGTTTTTTTGAAACAATTAAGTATTTTATTTGCAATTGAGACTGCTGTTTCGACTTGAGTTTTGACCTTTAAGTAATTGGAAAAAGTAATCCTAAGGTCTCGTTCAACTATCTTTTCTTTCCAAGTAAAACGGGTACCATCTTACTGTTTCATTGTGTTGGAGTGTGTTGATTTGTTAATGCGTCCTTATGCATAATTCTGCACTTATCAGTGTTGAAAGGCATTAGCCACTTACGCGACCAGTCAACTATTTTATCTATGTAAGCTTGAAGAAGGGTGGCATCTTGTAGCGTTTTGATGACTCCGATAATTTTATCATCAAATCATTAATGAATAACATAAAAAGCAGTGGACCAAGAACCGAGCCCTGTGGCACACCGCTAATTACTTGGACCCACTCAGATGTTGATCTATCTAAATAAACTCTCTGTAGCCGACCAGTTGATCATTTCTCAATTCATTTGAGCAGGGTGGCACTAATGCCACAAGCCTGCAGTTTATGTAACAAGCGCTGTGTGGGACTTTGTCAAATGCTTTGGCACAGTTTGCATAAATAACATCTACAGAAAACCTATGCTTTGTACCACTTCGTGTTCAGCTGCAAACACTGTCTAGAAGTATTTAATATTGCGCAAAATTTTTCCTTTTTTTGTAGTTGTTAAATTGTTTGAGTAGTAGGAAAGTGCGGGTTCTAGCTCATTTTTTCCGACCACATTTTTATCCATAATTTTTTGAATTTTTCTAAGTGCATTACAAGCATAATTTCAAGCTCATTGTGATAAAATTCAAAAAATTGTCATAAAAAAGTTGTCACTTTTTTATGGTTTGCAAGTTTCATAAAAAATTAATAAAAAGTTTTTTAATTTTAACTATCAAAGCAACCATCTAACTAAGCATAATAGTAGCATTGTCCTAACAATAAATAAAAGCTTCCAGATTGTCCAACTTGATCATCGCCAGAGTTAAGTGTCACTACAATTCTTCTACGACTACCAACGCTAAGCATACTTCAGATGAATCAAAGTTTCTATAAAATGAAATTGTAGTTGTTGGAGCAATTTTAATATTTGATAGATACAATAATCCTGATGATGTATTACTAAATGAGCTTACATTCGATCCATTCCATGACGAGAGATAAAAATCTTCTAAACCTTATGAAACGTAGATGCATCGACTGTTAACATCATATCCAAGGGTGTCCAAGGTTGAATAACTGAGTTAGTATTTGTAGGGGGTCCATATCCATCCCATATACGCAATCTGGATTCCCACCAGTTTCCAGATCTTTCAATGACATGCATTCTAATACATTTTAAATAAATACCGTTTCCATTATCCATAGCGTTCATCAACATATATTCTTTTCCATAAGTTGTATTTACATTTCTAAATGTTGATGAGTACAACTTAATGGATGAGGTAGATTGAGGTATTAGCGGATTAATACTAGTTAATATTTGTTGCAACGATGAATTTCTTGTAATAAAAGGTTGTAACCAAAATGTCACTGAATTACGTGTTTTATTGTATAATTGTATATAAAAACTTGATGTAAAGGTAAGATCGAGTGTAAAATATCCTCCTAATGCACTTGTACTAAATACATTACATCCTTGTATAGAGTTTGCATAATAGGGCCCATTAAGTGGTGAAAATAACAAATCACAAGCTAAAGCTGTATTATTAATACGTACACCTTCTGTTTCAATAGATTCATTACCTATGCAAAGTACATTATTAGCATATATTTAAAAAAATACGGTTTTACAATGAAACTCATTCCATACATTTCGTGGGTGTAAATAATCTTCATCACTAATATTTTCATCATTTAATCTTGAAAAGAATAGTTCTTTTGGTGGTAATTGTGTTTCAGAAAATTTATCAATAGAGTTAACCCAATCATAGGGATAAATACCTTTTCTTAATAATAAATCTAATCTCTTTCCAGAAAAGTATTTTCCAATATTCTTACATTGATCTTTTGTTAAATTCTTTGATAAGCTATCTAAACTACAAGCCATAAATTTATAACTATTAACGAAACAGAGTTGGTGTTTAACTTCAACAACCTTACCATTTTAAGTAAACTCATCAAATTTAATTTCTTTAGAAAAGCTAATATATTTTTCTTCATTGTTAGGAATACAATTTAATTTTCCTTCTCCTGATAATTTCTTTATAAACAAGTGAGAATCATAACCAGATAAATTATGAAATAGTACTGGAATGAATTTTGGAATTTTAAATTGTAAATTACAATCATTATGAGCAGCACCTCAATATTTATCAGAAATATGACAATGATCGCGTAGTTTATCTTTTTTTAGTAATTCTTTACCAATGTGGCATACTTTTGCACTATTAAAATAATTTTTGTCTTCAGTAGTAAATATTATCTTTTTTGGAAATTTTAAATATTTATGATATATTTTCTTTATATCTTCTTCTAAATGTTTGTGCAACACCATCTGTTTCACTACTTGCAGTAAATGTGAATGGACTGCTTTGATAAATACTTTCATCAAAACATTTGATATAATAACAAAATGAACTTGGAGTTTGCCTTTGATATTGTTTTGTATAGGAGTCATTCGGATTGGGTGTGCAAGTGTTAATAAGTGTAATAAAAATTTCAGCATATACTACAAAGGATACTCTTATAGACTTATCATGATTAGTTTGGCTCTGGAATTTCAATGCGTACTGAATTATGAGTGTTGCAATAAGATTTATGCTTTGATAATTACTCTTCAGTGTTAAATTCTAATAAACAATTTCTACAACAGTGCACAGTACATTTATGGTTAGATGTTTGTGATGAAAGTAATCTACAAAGACTTTTTAATTATACTTTTTCCCAATTTAATTTCTCAGCTTGTTCTTTAAGATCTTTATCTATTCTTTCAGAATTTTTATCTTTAGGATTTAAAAATTGAGCTACACACCACTTAAAGCATTCATTATGTTCATTTTCCTATAAATTATTGCTTTTTTAGCGACGAAATTTTTATCAAGAGGAATGTAGGTTCTAGCATTGTTAGGTCTATATTCAATCATATTTATATCCTTTTTTTTAACAAAAATAATTCTCCAACTTGATTCTAACTGTTGAAATGTTGACACTGATTCTAAAATTTTCTGTTCAGCTCTTTCATGGAATTCATTTAAATCTGTTGATTCTAATACAACTTCTGATTTTGTTGAAAATGTGGCAGTTGTGGTAACAGTTTTTCCTGTTTTAAGACGCTCCATTTCACATGAAAGAACAATATAGATCTTTACTACTATTCAGTATTTTAATAGCACTGTTTATAGCTGATTTCATAAATAATAAAGCATCATATCCTGCAACACCTTCTGCTAAAAATTGTTTTGTCACATTTTTAATGGATGATTGTGTCAATTTGAATTCTATTGGTCTTCTAATTCCAAATCTATTATACAAATTAGAAACTATCGATTTTAATTCGTTAATTTTTTTATTAGCTGCCTTTTTAATGGGTTCAGGAACACGTGACATAACCGAGTTAACAATTTCTATCACTTCATCATTAATTTCTTTCAATTTTTTATTAATAATTTTTTTCACTTTATGATAGATAATTTTAATATACCTACTACTTGGATCATACTGAGTTGATGTTAAAGTATTTTGTGTAATGTGTTCTGGAATCGTCCAAAATATTTTGCACTTTGAGATCTAACACTTTGATGAGATTTTTCGTTCTATAATAATATTTTATTTTGAGAATTTCATTTTTTCTTGTATATTTTAATATATTTTTAGTTGTCTTCTTCGAATTCTTCTAATTCTGACTTTAATTATTTTAAACAAAAATTTTTAACTTTTTTTTTCTAATATTAATTCTTCAAATTTTATTTCTTCTTATTTTAATCTTCTTAATTATTTTATTATTTTTTCTAATCTTCTTAATTTTAATCTTTCTTCTTCAAATACTAATTTTGATATCAATTCTAATCTTTCTATTAATCCTACTTCTATTAGTAAATCTAGTAATATTTTTTCTTTTGTTATTAATTCTAATATGAATTTTTCTATTTTTATTTGTAAACTTATTTCTTTTATTCTTTCCTTGAATTCTTTAATTTTTAATTCTAATTTTTCTTCTTTTAATCTTAATTCTTTTCTGCCTTCTTCTGATTCTCTTAATACTTCTTTTTCTAAATCTGGTAATCTTGCTAAATTTAATATCATTTCTTCTTCTTCTATTATATCTACTAATCTTTCTTCTTTAAATTCTAATTTTTCTAATTTTTCTTCTTCTAATTTTATTTTTTCGCTTGATTTTACTATTCTTTCTTTTAACTTAAATTTTTGTTCCTCATATTCTGTTTTATATTCAGAATAATTTTTATACACTTTGTTTTCCATTCTTTTTTATTATGTCAAGAAATTTATTTAATTCATTTTAAATAAATTTATTTTATTAAACATTTTTTTTAACAGTTCTTATATAAAGTATACTAATATTGAAAATAAAATTTTTCTCCATCAGACACAAGTTTTCCTTGCTTATTAAATATTATAAAAGAAAATAATAGAGTATTTGCTGAAGCAGGTGAATTAAATCGTCGCCTTAGAGGGCAGAGGTTCTATCTCCATGTTGTGCTCAAATTCAATTATGACTTTGGGGACATCTATTATAAGTGCTAGAATCAGATTAGGCAACGGGTCTATCTCCACATAGTAGGAGAAGTCTTCTCCTAATGTTGTATAAACTTGAATATCTACTAGTAAACTTTTTAATCTTTCTGTTTATTTGCTTAAATCAACAACATAAATAGGATATAATTCTTTAAATTCTGCATCATGTATGCTGCTTTGTGCATACAGTTGATTCGTTCCATAAAACTTCTCATTAAAAGTAGTTGAATCTAAATAAGCTCTTGAAAATTGAATATTTGTAAATTTTAAATTATAATCATTTGTAGGATGCCGTTTTCCATTAAGCGTTACTGAAATAGCTTTCAAATCACAATTATCGAATACTGAAGGGTTAACTTCTTGATTTCCACTTCTATTAGTTTGTATTACAAGAAGGATATATTTAGGTCTTTCATTTCTTCCACTGAGTTTAAAATTAAATCCCATAGCATTTGGTGTAACAGAATTATATTCACATATTCTACTACGAAAATCAACATCGAGTATTACTTTCGGATAAATATGATTAAAAAGTACACTTCTCATCGTATCTGATGGAATAACATGCTTCATCCATAATGATACTTTTGTAAGATTTACTTTTCCTGCAGCTACTCCAGCAGCTCTAAAAATTGCATCATTATCACCTTTTCTTGTAATAGCGAGTGAATGCTTTACTACGTAAATCACTTTATCATAATCGTCACAGAATCCAAAAATATGCTTTAAAGGAATACAATATGAAAATGTGCTTTTTGTAGCAGGTTTCTGAATAATTTTAACTTGTCTTGCTGCAAATCCTAAATTATCAGTAGCTACTGCAGTAAATGTTGTATCTTTAAACCAAAGTTGAGTTGATTCTGTTGATTTTTGAAAGTCATCAGAATATTTGAGCATTCCTATCATTTTAGTTGCTTGTCTTTAATTATTAACTTCTTCTATAGATTTATATGATAATTCGAATGACATTCTATCAAATAAATACATAATTCCATTGTTTGTTAGTGTAACTGCATCTGCATTAGCATAGGATGTACCATCGTCTTTTAGAAGTCTTCCTTCAACTTGTAAATATGCCTAAGATGGATGAAGAAATGAATCTTTTTGTTGAATATCTATTCTTATTTGTGTTCCATTTCCATCTAATATTGATTTATTTTGTGGTTGATACTCATAATGTTCATTTCTTTGAATACCATCATCAATAATTGCTTTCTCTGTAATATTAAATATCTTATTAGAAAAAGTTTCAATTTTTTAAATCATTTTTCATTAATTAATAAAATTTTTTTTAGTCTAAACTACTTTTATTCCTTTTCTTAACAAATTTTTTTAATTTAATTGCACTTGAAATTAAAATTTTTGAATTATATTTAGATTTTTTTTCTTCCATTCTTATCTAATTTTTCTAATTTAATAGCACTTGTAGCTGAAATCTTTGAATGATTTAATTATGATCCCATTATCAGATTATTTAAATATGTTGTCACTTCGTTAGTTAGATTTTTAGCTAGATTATTAGCTTCAGATTCTATTAATTTGTGAAGCTTTTGTTTACTTTCAGTTGAAATCTTTGCTTTTGAAATTAACTTTTTTCCTTTATCTACTACAACATCTTTAATAGTTTTAAAAACTTTTCCTGCTACTTTTGCATCATCTGTTGCAGTTTTTTCTAAATCACTACGAATAGCTTTATTTGCTAAATTGCGTGATAAATTAAGTGCTTTATCTACAGATTGCTTTTGAAATATACTTCTAGCAGAACTAAATATTCTTCTACCTCCAGCAACTAAAGAACTAAAAATAAATACCTTCAACAGCTTTTTAATAACTTTTTTATTCTCTATAATAAGCATTTTTATTTACTATTTTTATTTAATTTATTTTTTATAAATCCAGATCATCTATTTTCTAAATGACTAGACAACATAGTCTTCATAGCAGATAATATTCTAATCAAATCTGAAGATTTTGCTCAATTATATACATTAGTAATAGTATCAAATACTCCTCTACCTCCAACAACATGCTTTTTAATAACTCTTTTATTCTCTATAATGAGGATTTTTATTTACTTACTATTTTTTAAATTATAGTTATTTATTTTTTTAAATATTTTGTATTAATTTATACTCTTCTTCATTCAGTACGCCTTGACGTAATAATTCATCACAAATGGCAATAGCTTCATTTATAACTCCAGTGTTACCTGCTTTAAATGAAGCTATACGTAATTCAAGCATATCAATTAGCGCGTCTGAATCTCTAGGAAGATAGATGACTCCTTTTCCAGATTTTCCAGTTATTTCTTCCCAAATGGGTTTTATTATCTACTTATATTTTTCATTTCTAGATGATCTAGGTTTTCCTGGATATTCACTAGAAAAAATAGCATCTGTTTCTTTCAATATATTTTTATAATTTTCAAGATCGTCTTCATTATTTTTATCAGGACTAGCTTTTGTTAACAATTCCCAAAGACCAGTAGTTCCAATATATTTTTTATCATCAACAGTTATATCATTATTATTAATAAATATTGGTTTTTTTCCTAAATACAATTTTCTATCTTTTGAGTGTATACCGAATGTAGTATCTGCTGCCTTTTTATTACTATATGCTGCAGTCTGCATATAGTCATTTCTCATAAATATTTTCACATTCTTAATTTTTGCACTCATTTTAATTATACTCCAATTTATAAAGAAGTTCATTTTAAATCAGTTTAAATAGCTCTTAATTAATTTATTTTAATGTATCGACTTTAGATGCAGTTCTATTTTTTAGCAGGTGTGCTAGTTATATTATGTATTTAAAAATAACAATTTTTTTTTTATTGTTATTGTTATTATTTTTCTCAATCGTGTCTGATCTATTGTGTCTGATCTATCGTGTCTGATCTTTTTGTGTCTGATCTATCGTGTCTGATCTATCGTGTCTGATTTATTGGTAATAATTTTGAGATTTGTACTCATTATTAAAGTAAATATTTTTTCGTGATCCTTTTCGTGATCCTTATGTAATCTTTAAGCTCTTTTTTGTATTTTTTAAACTTAGTTGAAATGATTTTCATCATTGTTATTTCCTTTTTTAACCTAAAGTTTTGAACTTTTTTCACTGCAAATAAAAAACGCATACATATTTACGGTATACTTTTTTTTTTGTGGTGAGCATTGCGGTATACGGTATTCCACATTACACCATAAAAAAAAGGCTGCCTTCTCTCTGTGTCAAAACAGACGTGTGGACACTACTAACACTATTAAGTTCAATATTATCAATTAGATTAAAAAAAGATCTCAGTTCAAGGATTATTCTCTGCAGAAATCTGCACACAAAATTACTTTATTCATCCAGCACAAGGTATTGCTTTATGTTGAAAAAAATTATATAATGTTGCAACCATACTACTGATCTAAATCAATAAATAAATGCTTTTTTTGTATTAGTAAATAAATAAGTTAACCAGTTATTTTTAAAGTTTTAATTTGTAAATATATATATATATATATATATATATATATATACATATATTTTTTTTTAAATTAGTATGAATTGGTTAGGTGTCACTCATATAGTTCCAAACTAGTCAATGGAGTGACACCTGAAAAAAATAAAAAAATTTCACGAAAAAATAAATAAATAGAAAAAAAAAAAAAAAAAAAAGCAAACAATATAAAAAAAAAAAAAAAAAAGGAAAAACTCAACATCTGTATATATAAATAAGAGAGAAAAGAAGAAAAGATTGTTAAACAAATAATAATGATATATGTAATAATAATATTAATAATACAAAATAATAACAATAATAATAAAGTACCAACAATATTAAGAATATTATAATACAATATAAATTGTATGTACAAATCATAGATGATAATTAGATATAATAATAACATAAAATGTTACATTAATAACACAATAATAAATAAATATAAGATAGGTAAATGATAAATAAAGTAAAAATCAAAGCACTTGTTCGTTAAAGAGATTATATATTGAAGATAACTACAGTACAGAGAGAAATTATAAAGAAATACACTCCAACAATATATTTTCAAATTGAATTCTGTTGAGCGGTAAAAAATTCGTAACAAGTGGATATTTTTTCTTAGACTTTTTTATTAATGCAGGAATACACTGGTTCCATTGAGAAATACATTGTTGTTTTATGGAAAACTTACTATATTTGATTGTGTTGAAAAAAAAATAGTATAGCTTACTATTTTCTGTATTCCTGGTGTGATGATTATGAACTTCATTTGTTTTAATAAAAAAAATTAAAAAAGGGCTTGATAGTTTATTTTGGAGAAAGTCAAACACAAAAAGACAATTGTAAAACTTTACAAGATTATGGAGTTTTAGGAATTTTAGTTCAGAAAATTTTTTTTCAATATCAGATCTGATTGTGGAAAGCGTCATTATTCTAATAGATGCGCGTTGTAAACTAGAAATGTAATTAAAAAGTTTCTTTTTTGACCCCAAACAATACAACAATAGCAAAGGTGAGAAGAGAATAAAGAAAAATAAATCATTCGAAGAGTTTAGATAAAAACATAGTAACGAATTAGAGAAAGCATACTGTTAGCTCGTGTAAGTTTTTTTTTAGATGATACAGTTGATTATACCAAGATAGGTTTTCATCAAGATATATTCCAAGATACTTTATATATTTTGATGGAAAAGGTTTTTTACCGTTAATTTTAATTTTAATATGATCAATAGTTTTTGGAGGGGAATGAAAAATAATGTATTCAGTTTTATTGATATTCAAGGAAATTGCTTGCTTAATTTTTTTACAAAGAGTCGTGAGGGATTTGTTGATATATAAAAGATTGGTATCGTCAGCATAATGATGTATCATAGAATTTTTTGATGAACAAGATAAATCATTTATATATAATAAGAACAACAACGGTCTAAGAACGGAACCTTGTGAAACGCCATATTCAATAACTTTATGTGTGGATTCAAATCAATTAATTGAAACAAACTGAGTGCGATCCGTAATATATGAAGAAAACCAATGATTATCAATGAAAGCAGCTGTGGCGCAGTGGTTAGAGTTCTGGCTCAGAACCCAGAGGTCCGAGGTTCGACGCCAGCTCTAGCCCAACAAGCGACATTGGTACGGAAGGAGGCGTGAACTTCCCGTTAAATGCTTTCCCGCGGTGCTCTATGATTAGACCGCAAGGACTTTTGGTAGCACCTAAATACATACAAAAAAAAAATACAGCGTATTCTGAAGTACTTTAACTTTTTTATTAGAATGTTGTGATTAACCGTATCAAAAGCTTTTTGAAAATCTATGAATACACCACAATCAAAAGATCCACTGTCAATTGCACCACGAATCATTTCAGTTAATGCTAATAAGAGCGTAAGAAGTGGAGTGATTTGAGCAAAACCCAAATTGTCAAATATGAAAACAAGCAGAATTATTCAAAAAATTGTAAATACGAGAATACATAAATTTTTCTAAAAGTTTGCTGACATTTGATAATAATGAAATTGGTCTGTAGTTATTACATTCAAGTTTTGAGTCTTTTTTATGAATTGGGATAACAGAAGCAGTTTTTAAAATATCAGGGAATACACCGGTTGTGAATGACAGATTAAATAGTTCAGAAAGTACAGGAGAGATATCATTTGCAAGAGCTTAAAAAATAGGTATTGGAATGCTGTTAGTTCCCGAAGCCTTGCTGTCTTTAAGAGAATGAATAATCGGTAATACTTCGTTTTTGTCTTTAGGTTTTATGAACATTGAATTAAGATTAGGATTTTAAAGATATTTATTAAAGTCAGTATTAGATGAGTGGATCTTATTCTGTAAATCTTCCGGAACTGAAACAAAAAATGAATTAAAAGATTCCGAAATTTTAATGGGGTCGTAAATCATGGAGTTG